TAATGGAGAGGAATTTGGCTATACAGCTAGTGGTCAAACTCAAAGCTGGTTAAAGTTAAGAGTAAATAAAAATTCCAGGGAATGTCAAGCTTTGTAATCTCTTACCTGGATTACTGTGTTCATCTCCGAACTGATCCTTTTGCATCTACTCTTTTCCTGTCTAATTCATTTTCCACATTTTAATACTTTAACCTAAGCAGTCATTTCAGAGTACAAATTTGATCATGTAACCTCACATGTAACACTTCATTGGTTCTCCATTCTCTCAGGAAAAAGATTAAAATTCTATAATGTGACCTATAATAGTGGGCCTAACTTATACTATGTTTTTTCTTACTCTCTGTACGTAAGCCACATTAACTTTCAGTCCATTAAACATCCTATTCAAATGAAGATATTATCACCCAGGATTTCCAGCTTGCTGAATCTGAAAGTTAATTTCTGTTCACATCTTTCTTTGACTTCCTAGTAACACTCAGCACAGGTAGCCATTCCCTCCTTGAAATCTTTCTTCCGACTTTTGTGATATCAGTTTTTCTCCTGTACTTTTTTTTTTTTTTAAGATTTTATTTATTTGTTTATGAGAAATGGAGAGAGGCAGAGACATCGGCAGAGGGAGAAGCAGGCTCCTGGTAGGGAGCCTGATGTGGGACTCGTTCCCAGAACCCTGGGATCATGACCTGAGCCAAAGGCAGACGCTCAACCACTGAGCCACCTGTGCCCCTCTCCTGTACTTTAATTGCTAGAGTTCTTTCTGGACTCTTCTTCACTTTCTACAGTCTCCCTAAGTGATCTCTTCTCATCTCATGGCTTTTAATAATGTCAATGTGTTAATATGACTCTAGGCTGATTCAGTGTCAGACTGAGATTTTCAACTTTCTGTTCAACTTGTCTATTCAGATATTTATTTTTTTTAATGTTTTATTTATTTGTTTGTTTGTTTGTTTATTCATGAGAGACAGAGAGGGAGAGAGAGGCAGAGACACAGGCAGAGGGAGAAGCAGGCTCCATGCAAGCAGCCTGATGTGGGACCTGATATGGGACCCGATCCCGGGACTCCAGGATCACGCCCTGGGACAAAGGCAGATGCTCAACCACTGAGCCACTCAGGCATCCCTCTACTCAGATATTTAATGAGCATCTCAAATTTAACATGTCCAGAAAAGAAAAAAGAAAGAAAGAAAAACTTTTTTGCTTGCAAAATTTCAGTCCTATTCAAAAGGAGAGTTGCTACCATGAAACCATATGTATCCAACCCTTAGTTTCAACAGTCAATTCATGGCCACTCTTGTTTCATTTATATTCCACCACTCACCTCATTCTATCCAGCTTATTTTGCAGCACACCCTAAATACCCTTTTTCTGTAAATATTTCAGTCTGTATCTCTAAAAGATTGTAATACCAATATCACATACAATCAACAGTCATCCTAAGTATCATCAAATATCCTGTGAATCTTAATAGCACCTTGATCTTCTCATTCCTTCCAAATCTTTTCTTCCCCTGCTCTCTCCCCAACATCTGTTAATGGCACTACCATCCATTTAGATGCTCAGACCTCAAAGCTAATAGGCATCTTGTTTTCTCTTCTCATTCCTCACCACCAATTCATCAGTAAGTCCTACTCACTGTATTTTCAAGATTTTTTTTTAAATTTTTATTTATTTATGATAGTCACACAGAGAGAGAGAGAGAGCCAGACACAGGCAGAGGGAGAAGCAGGCTCCATGCACCGGGAGCCCAATGTGGGACTCGATTCCGGGTCCCCAGGATCGTGCCCTGGGCCAAAGGCAGGCGCCAAACCGCTGCGCCACCCAGGGATCCCCTCACTGTATTTTCAAAACATATCCAGAAGCCAGCTTCCTCTCGCTATTCCACTGCTACCTCTCAAATTATCTTTATCTCTTGCCTAGACCACCATAGTAGCCTGCTATATAGTCACCCTGTTTCCATTCTCCTCTCTAAAATCCATTCTCTACATAGAGGTGAAGTTATCTTTAAAAATTGATCACGTTATAGCCTTCCCTTGCCTAAGGGAGAGAATCCTTCATTGTCTGCATGGCCTGTGTTGTCCCTCACTTTCTGTTCTCCTCTGATGTTCTCCTCCTCACACAATATCACTTTACCCCAAATTCAGCCCTTGTGCCTTATTTTAGTTTAGCTTATATATCCTGAAGTTTGTTCTTGCCTCATCATTTTTTACTTACTCTCCCAGGTGTTCATTTAGTTGGCTCATTCATAGCCTTCAGTTCTCAGCTCAGATCCTGCCTCCTCGGAGAGGCCTTTCTTATTCTCCCTGTCTGAAGGGCTAGCCTCTCAGCCCCACTGTCATTCTTTATCCCATTACCTCAGTTTGTTTTCTTTTTCATAGTATTATCCAGTACTAAAGTTACCTTGTTTATTGAGGTACTTGCTCATTGTCTCCCCCTATGAGAAAGTTTCTCCAAGAGAGCCAGGACCTTTTCTGTTCATTCACCACTGTAGCTCTGGTGTGTAGAATGGTGCCTGGCACACACTAGACATTTCCAAGTGTGTTTTGAATGAAGAGTGAGTTAGTAAATGAACTGTGCTGTGTTTTAACTGCTGCACATATGTAATGAAGGAAGATTGCTGAGGACTGTCAGCCAAGGAAAGCTTTATCTAAAAGTTATAACTTAAGCCTCAGCTTCAGAAGATCATTTTGATTTAGATAGGGGAAAAGAGAGATTTTTAAAGGAGGCATCAGCAGCTGGTTTTTGTTTTATATGGAATAGTCGAGTTGTAGGTGCTAAAGTTGGCAAGGAAAGTCCCTGTCTGTTACTACTGCTACTTACCTGGTTTTTGACACTAAATGGTGCTGCAACCATTTGTGTAGAATTTGGCCACTCTTACACATATATCCTCCATTGTACAAAAAACGTTCAAAATGATGGTTGCTTAGTGAATATATTGAGATTATCCCTTAAGAATTCCAGTTTATAGAGAATAATACTACCATTGACAAAAGTAGATAAAGGAAGAGGGGATAAGATAGTGACATTGGTTTTAGACCTGACATTTGCCTGTATTTTAATTATTAGTCTAATTATGAGCCTTCTATAAGCTGCTTAAATTCTAGGTTGAGATCTAAAAAAAAGACCATTAAATTACTAATTAAAAGGTTAGTGGACTGATAGGAACAGAATCTAAATTGCAGACTTAGATGGAATGGCTTAATAACCAGATGGTTATTATAAATGGAAACACCTAAATGTTCATTATTGGAGAAGTGGCCTTACAGGTTGTGATACCTCCACAGGATACTTAGTAACTATTAAAAATGTCTTCTTGGCACTTTCTACTAACCAGGGCAAAATGCTCATGGTACAATGTCATAAAGCAGGCAGGACTTTAGAGTGTTACAAAGGACCTCAAGTTTATAAAAATATTCATAGATAATGTACAGAAAAAACAAAAGGAATATCTTATAATAGTAATAGTGGTTAACTGTGGATGATTTTTATTTGTAAGTTTTTCTAATTTTCCAAAAATGATAATACTTTAATCATAATAAAAGTTTTTACTTTAACAAATAGATGAAGAAAGAAATGAAGAAATTGGTTTCAGTCATGGATTTCATTGTAGCAAAGGAAGAAATGATTGGCATGTAGAAGGAGGTGAGGCAGAGGATCAAGCAAAGTTGCTTTTAATACACTTTAATATTGATTGTTAACTTGTTGGGGGTTTTTAATACTTATATTTCTGGCACTATATACTTCAGTTTTCCTGGTGATTTTTCAATCATTATGTTTTGCTAGGCTAGGGGCAGAGAGGAGAATTTAAGAAACAAAAAGAAAAGAAAAGGGTATACTCCTAGAAGCTGGTTCTAGCGTTTGTGTTTTCTGGGGACAGAGCATAGCTGTTGTCCAGCCTTTCTCTAGTGACAAGTGAAAAGAAGTACTCTAATCAAAATGTAGAGAGGAGACTACTACCCTGGGTAGTATACTCACCAGAGTCTTTCTTAGTCATCTGACCGGTTGGTGGTATTATTATTATTATTATTATTATTATTATTATTATTTTGGTTGGTTTTTTGAGAGTTGGAGCCTTTTGAGGAGGAAGAGATCTTGGAAAATGAGAGTAGGGTCACTAAAAAAAGATAAAACTAATTTCTATTCTGTGAACAAGAAAGCCATGAAGAGATTTGAATCCTTCTCTAGCAGCATGCTTTGTTTTACCTATTTTTGTTTTTTTTTTTTAATATTTTTTAAAATTTTTTATTTATTTATGATAGTCACAGAGAGAGAGAGAGAGAGAGAGTCAGAGAAGCAGGCTACATGCACCGGAAGCCCGACGTGGGATTTGATCCCGGGTCTCCAGGATCACGCCCTGGGCCAAAGGCAGGCGCCAAACCGCTGCGCCACCCAGGGATCACTGCGCCACCCAGGGATCTGTTTTACCTATTTTTGTTACAAAAATAATACACAATCATAGTAAAAAGCCTAAAAAACCAAAAAGACTAAAAGGTTATAGGTTAATTTCTGCAAGTGAATCCCTACTGTTTCTTGAATATCTTCATGGAATTTTTCTCTCAAGCACCGCATTTTAGAATGATAGACAAGGGCATGGAGCAAGCAATCATGCTGGATTGTTTGGGACAATTTGAGGTAATTAAGTTTAGTAGAACCCTTTATTGGCTGTATGCTGGGCATGGAGAGAGCACACACTGTTTGCCAAGCACTGTCAGCAGATGGGGTATAAAAGTGAATAAAACAATCTTGACCCTTGAGATGGTCACATCTGAGCCAAGGAAACCGAGTTGGTGCCCATTCTTAGAATTCCTGTTACATAACCTACCCATTATTCTTGTAATAAAGATTTTCCTGTGGTTGCACTAAATATAGCATGGTTTCTCTCCTCCTAACTTACAAAGCTGTAAAATATCCAAGAGCTTTATGGGGTTTTTTTTGTTTGTTTGCTTAAATGTTTCCTTTTTAACTTTCCATTTAGGTTATTATTCTTTTATTTTAAACATATATAGGAATTACTCAAGGTGATGAGGACGATTGATGACAGAATAGTACATGAATTAAACACTACGGTTCCAACAGCTTCCTTTGCAGGGAAAATTGATGCAAGCCAAACCTGTAAACAACTTTATGAGTCTGTAAGTGTATCTTTTGAGTCTTTTGTGCTTCTGTTATGCCTTTCTTTGCAGGCAAAATAAGAAACCAATTGACATATAATTAAACTGGATAAAAGTATGCCATCTTCATATTTTCTTGCCTACTTCTGAGGGTGTGTATAAGTTTTGATCTGGTTGCTACAAACTCAAGAAAATGTGTGGTCTTATGCACAGGCCTGTGAAGAGAGGGTTCTAAGGGATGAACAGTAGTTTTTTTGGCCCCTTCATGGGCAGCCTTTAACTTAGGGAAACCTTATGCACCAGGGAATGAAGGAGAGTGGACAGTCAAGTCAAACAGTGAAACAAGAGCAGGGGCTTTGAGTGAATCAGTCCAAAGAGCCAAACACCTGATACAATGAAGAATTAAAACCCTTCACACTTTCTATCCTCAATCATCAAGAACAGGAATAGAAGCATTTGGTAGTTAGGAGAAAAGCCACAGATAAATTTTCTTTTCCTGAGGCTTTGGTTTCTCAAGTATATATTTTTTCATTGCCTCTTAAAGATTCCCGTTTTGTCTCTTTATAATTTCCAAAAGCAAAAGGAAATTGTAATATAGCTAAATATTTTTTTATATATATAATTTACTTGTATCTTTTCATTAATTTGGAAGCTAATGTTCAAATGATATTTGCTTTTTTGGGATCTCCCACAAGATTACTATTTAAATTCTTGTAAAGAAGGTATTACTTAAAACCTATATTTTGTTTCTCAGTTACGAAAAAAAGTCAGTTTTAGATAAACTTATTCATATCAGTTAAATTCAGAGTGTTAATGTTGATATTTTTATTCTGCTTTTATATGAAAGTATGTTATTTCACTGAGTGGTCAGGTAATTCTGTGGCTTGAAAATTTCCAAGGTCGTGGGCTTTAATGAGTAGAATCCAGTATTGGAAGTAGGGAGCATGAGTCCAAGCCCTAATTTATTTTGAGATTATTTGATAGTTTACTTAGTTTCTTTGGGTAGCTCTCTCTGAAGAGCTAGAAATTTATGATCTCACTACCCATATAATTTATATAATCTGTTCAATTGTTTCCATTTACAATCTTTTTATTAACTTGAAGATTTATAGTGTAGGGTTTCACAACATGGATTCCATATCTAAATTAAATCCTGCCTCTACTACTTTTTAGCTGATAACCTAGAACACGTTACATGACTTTTTGCCCCAGCTTCCTTATGTGTAAACTAATACCATAATAGTACCTTGTTCATAGGGTTGTTAGAGGCCTACCTGAGGTAATAAGTGCTTAGTATACTAAGTGTCTTACCTATAAATGCTTGCTGCTTCCACTACTGTTGTTTTTATCTCTTATCCCTTTGTTGAACCAGGATAATCTTGCATACTGGAACCTTTTGTTTGGGATATTTGGGATCTTTTCTGTTTTGGATATTCTTACGTATGTGTTTGGGTTTTTCTCTGTATCCTAAGGGCTCCAGCAACATGAACAGCAGAGAAAGGATGGTTTACCTAGTACTTTTGTGCCAGTGTTGGAACCTGCAGCAGAATACCCATGCTAAGAACTCCCACTAAGTTCCCTTAAGTATTGTCTCAGTTGAGAATGGAACAATGTCAAACCTCCAGGGTGCTTAAGGTTACCTTGACTTCCTTTAGTCCCAACCCTTCCTTTACAGACAGTTAAGGAAGGAATGTTTGCACTCTCTAATGATAATACTTCTTCACATCAGATGGTCAGCAAAGTTATGAAGAAGCACTAATTGTAGAAATTCCAAATCTTAAAACTATACTCTTAATAAAAATAATTTCAGTGAAGATGCCCTTATTAGAGCATATTCCATTCAGTCTATGAACTTTTTCTAGCTGTACGTTGTTTATTGTTTAATCTCAAGATAAACATAAAAATCAGGACTGAGCCTTAAAAAGTCTATGAACTTGGAATAGTGCTTAACAAATGCAAAACTAGTATTGGTGTCACAGTAATTGATTTACGGTAATTCTTAAAGGTATCTCTTTAATATAATGAATTTTTGGAATATATGTTTAAATGATATATTTTCCGAAACTTGAATCTTTTTGTCAGAAATTCTAGAGGAAGATTTAAAACAAAGTGCCATGACAAAAACTTATTAATTTTTATTCTGTTTTTAAGGATAGTTAAACCAAGGGTCATTGTCAGGGTTCTAAAACAAATGATGTTTGGGGAATTAGAATTTAGTGTAGAGTTAATTTAGAATCAGCCTTTGTTCTGGAAAGAAAAACACTAAAAAACTATAATCAGGAAAACTGTTGGCATTGTTTCCCTTAAAGGCAAAAAGCATTGTTTTAAAATAACGATTAAAAGATAGTAGGTAAAAATTTGACTAAAAAAAGTTTTTACAGTTTTGGTAAAGTAAAATAAAACTGAAGTCCTAAGTAGATGCTACTTCTGAATCATTCTCCTGCCCCATCCCAAATGACTTTAATTCCAGAATTACTTACTCCAAATCAAAGGAAGTATGGTTATGATAGGGGTATCATTTAGGAATTTTCTCCCCTAACCAACGGCCTTGCCTTTTACCCTACCAAGTTTCTTGATAAATTTTATCTTAGTTCCTTTAACAAGCACTTTGTATATCAGAAACCATTCTCATGTGACCCAGCTTCCAAAACATGAGTCACTAATGAGCTAATAAGTCTGATTTAGTGCTATTTTTTCTGTATATTTTTCTCTGGTAGGCTTATGTCACACAGTCTTATTACTAGTTATCAAACGTCCTCATTTCTTTGACATACCATGTGTACAGAAGTCAATGCATATTCCTCTTGCCTGTAGCTCTTAATTCTGAGTTTTGTTGAAGGATAGTCATAAAAGCTAGACTAAAATAATTGATGATACAGATTAATAGATAATTGGCTCAGTAATTTCTGTCCACATGGGAGTGGGTGCACATTGGGGCTAATCTGAAGGAAGAGTACACAGGTGAGGGTAGGAGGGTGGTCTTTAGCTAGAAGTGTGTCCACAGGAAAGGGGCCACGCGAGGGAGGGGAGCAGTGGTTGAAAGGCCAACCATGGAAGGAAACTCTGGTGAGAGAGACTGAAAGGAAAATATTGAATATTTTGATAAAATATCCACAATTTGAACTTGATTTTAAAGTGCAGATAGAAAAATTAAAATACTATGACAGACTTGTAGTTGGTGCCAATACGATTCTGCCAATTGTTGGAGGTTTAGACAAAATATCAAAGCGATTAAGTAGCTTCTGACATCTGAGCAGTGTACTGAATTGCTAATGCAATTTTACCCTTAAATTTTAGAGGTAGAAGGATGTTAGTAGTGATTATTTACTCATAATCCATAATTTTGTAAAAGCAGAAACTGAGGCCTGGAAATACTAATTATTTAGCTAGTCTCACAGCGAGAACTTCTTAACTCTAAAGATGGTTCTTCTTACTCTATTTTGGTAAGTTTCCTACCCTCATTGGCTATTTCATTTTCTGGAATTATACCTGGAAGGAGGAAACAAATAACAGAAACAGCATATTAGCCGGTGAAATACTTGCCTTGGGCTGTTCTTGTGAATCCTAACTGTTACCATGAAAAAAAATTAGCATATTAGAGAAATTGACTGTAGGTGGGGCTAATGTCTGTCTGTTAGTTTGAATTTCCTTCTTTTCACATAGGTATGATTTATAATCAATGCACTTTTAGTATTACTGTACTCTAGAAATGCAAAGGTTTATTTTTTCTTGGTGCATATTAGACCAGTAATTCTTAACCTTGGGGTCCTGAGATGATCATTTAAGAGATGTGTTCCAAATTACTTACGAAGAATGCTTATAGGATGGTTTAGTCCTATATTTTGAATAAATATATGTATAATGGTTAGGTATCCTTGGTATAATTGTTAGTAGCATAGTATTAAGATATTCTCTCTTCAGAGGGAAAAAGGAATGATATAACATGATTACTTAACACCTAAGGTTTAGTTGGAAGTGAATCGCCTTTTTTATTACTCCATTAATGCTCCATTAATTACATGGCAGTTACATATTATTTTAGTACTTTGGTTTTTCTCCCCCAGATTATTGGGGTGTCATCTGAATTTGACTGTGATCATGGGAGTGTGTTTGAATTGTGACCATAATACTTTGTGAATCAGGGAACAAAATAGATGCAAAGTGGTATATTGGATTTGTTATATAAAGATAAAAGTTTAGTAAAGAATTGATCCACCACATGTCCTTTCAGTCAGTATACACAGTTGATGGAAGCAATAGTCTGTACTTTATACACAATTTTTCCATATTGATACTTGAACTTTAAAATCTTGGAAAGGCTGTCTTACATTCCTTGTTTTTCTTTATTGTAACAAATTGGTTCCCTACCTCACTTACTTTAAAATTTCTTGTACTTAGTGACAGGAGGCTGAAAAAAAACATGAAAGGACAAAAAAAAGAGGAAGAATAGCAGTAGTGGCCCCGGAGGTGGGTGAGAGTGAACGGAAGATAGAAGAACAGAACACAGGGTTGGAATACTGGGGAGAGAAATGTAGGGAGAAGGGACTGAAATGAAAACCCCCCTGTGAGAAATGCAGGAAGAGGAGTGGTAAGTTCCAGAAGCAAAGTGAGGAAGAAGGCAACCGGATCACATACTTTGCACCAAGAGAGGCGCTTCTTTTGATCTTTTTAGGTGATTTAGCTGGTTTAGCAAAATCTTTGCTTCCATAGATTGTTTTTAAAAATTGTTTTAGAAAGTATTATGTTTCTATAATCTAAAAAAAGGATTTTTTTACTAAAAGGTAAAAAATAGGTGTGATTTTTCTCTTTTGTTCTTTTAGTTGAGGGAGGCTCATGCCAGCAGGGACAGAGTCATAAAAAATTGTATAGCTCAGACCTCATCAGTAGTAAAACACCTCCGAGAAGAGAGAGAAAAGAATTTGGATGATTTAACGTTATTAAAGCAACTTAGAAAGGAACAGACAAAGGTAAGTTTAACAAGATTTACATTTCTGAGCCATGGATTTTCCAAATTTAATAAAGGTAGTTTTTAATATGAAAATTTTAGGGTAAGAAATGGTCATTACTTTAAAAAAAAAAATGACCAGCAGAGTTATACTTCATTTTTAGTGGGCTTTATTTTATTACACTTAGATATTAATTGGTAAGTTAATGTGCATTTCATGCATATATGCCTGGTAGCAGCTTAAGCTTAAAGAAGCATATAGTTGTATTTTCTTCTATTTTTTTATGTATTATACTGTTAAAGATTAAAGGATTAATATAGACCCAACACCACATCAGAAAATCTAGGGAATTCATATCTGTATCAATGTTTAAAGGCTTGACTGGAAAATAAACTTTTAAAAAGTGTATTTACATTTTGAGAATATTTACCTCTGGTTTCATCTGTAGAAATTTGCTGAAATGCAATACAGGTATTTCAGGATATTACCTGTTCAGCCACAAAAATATAGTACTATTTGGATATAACCAGATATACTAGAACCTCATTATAATATATTTCCCTACTGCAGAGAAGTTGCTATGGGTCTTTGGCTCATTTTGGACACTTTTTTGTTTCTACTTCATCTCCCATCCCTGCAGTTTTCACTTTTAAGAAAACTGCAAGTGTCCACTGAGTGATATGCCAGAGGAAGCCTTATTTTCCTAAAGTCAGCTATAATGTAGATAGGATGTGGACCTTAGAATATAATAAATGGAACACAACTGTTTCTTTATAGCCCTTAATGGTGACATGTCAAGAAAACAATTGAAATGTGTATCCTGTTTTATTATGTGGAATGCATTGCTGTCTTCCTTTTGGGAGTGGTGCTTAAAGAGTAATGTTTTATTTTGGTATAATTTCAAACTTACAGAAAAGTTGCAAGATGAGTACGGGGAACTCACATGTACCCTTTACCTATATTCACTCATTGTTTACATTTGCCCCACCTGCTTTGCAATACATTCTCTCCACCCCTCCTTTACCTATATCCCTTCCCTTCCTACTACACATAGGTATTTTTTTCCCCTGAACCATCTGACAAAAATGTTGGGTCCGTGGTTCCTTTGCCCCTTACATATGTTGATTATTTCCTAAGAAGAGGGGCTTTTTCCCACGTGAACACTGAGCAATTATCAAAATCATGTCTGTATTTTAAGATGGCACAACAGGTGTCTTGTTGATCTTTGGATGTCGAGTGACTGAAAACCCAGTATGGGATGGAATTGTGTTTTTCTTTACTAAATAGTCATGAAGTTTGCCCTTTGTTTAGTAGATGTAGCCAGACTTTGAAAAGGGGACCTTATCATCTCTCTCAAGCCTTTATTCTTTAACTGCCTACAGGTGAGTATGTGCACTTGCTCAGTCATCCCACTAATGCAGCATGTCTTGCTGGGTATAGATTCATCCACTGTCTTCACTGCTCTCTTTGTTCATGATGACCACTTCAGTCCTGTGTTCCATACCTGCCCATTTATCAGGCAGTGGTGGGTTCCTCAGACAGTGAACCTATGCTGTGATGGCCATCTCACTCAGTGTTTATGAAGTCTTAGAGATAATTTATATAAAACATTAAAATCTAGGCTTTTTTGTATTTTGTATTTTAGCAGACTCTTGAAGGTATTGACAAAGGAAACTGCTGGGCAGGGCTGTTGTATCAGAAACTGAAAACTCACTATTTACACGTTAAATCAAACAAAGACTAGAATGACTCTTGTCAGTGGAGAGCAAAGTTCAGAAACCACTGAGTACTTGGGAGTGACAAGTCACATAATTTGGTCCACCCTCATTTCTGCCCTTTAGCCTCTAGGGCCCAGAAAGAATCAGCTGGATGACCTTTCCAAGGAGCAGTTTTAGAAACCAGTCAGCGAGTTACAAAAGGTAGCTTTCTAGACTGATACTGTATAGGACTACAGGGTGACCATGAGTACCTAACCAAGTAAGAAGCTTGAATTTTTGTTTTAAATTTTTGAGTTTGTCTTGAAGATTATAGAATCAGAGAACTCTTAGAAATGTTCCAGCTCTCCCTCTCCCTTTTCTGAACAAGGAAACTGAGACTTAGAGATACTGACATCACCAAAGTCACAAGCTAAGTAAGTGGTAGAGCTGGGACTTTAACCCATCTCTTCTGACTCTGGATTTAGTGTTTTTATGTTAAATTGTGATTGATAGTCAAATTCTGATTACTTAAGTGAACATATTTTATTTATATACAGAAACTCCACTCTAAAAGTCCCCAGTTCTTTCCCTGAGTCTTAACTCCAAGAAAGCCACATTCCTTATTGGCACTATTATCTGTTGTCACCTGTTAGTGGCCTTTGAAAGGAAATTGACCAGTTTAAGACCTAGAGCCTCAAAAACAACCATCTGAGCGGCAGCATTTTGTTAGTGACACTGAAATTAATTGTATTAGAAGTTGTATTATCTGCAGCATTCAAGAAAAGAAAAAACATGGATTATAAAGGCAGATAGCTCTAAGGAATAAATCCCATCCAACCAACCAAAGTGGTGGCTTTGTATAAATTAATTGCCCTGAAATAATCTGATATTTACTTTGTAAAATGGAATCAAGACTTCTTAAACTTTCATTTTTAGGGATTAGGATTAAATTATATGTGTCTAAGAGCTAGCATATCCCTGACACATTTAGTACTTGCTTTCCTTTCTATATTTGTTACATTGATCCTCCTTACAGTATCTCCCAACCAGTGATTTCTACCTTACGTTTAACCACTACTTAAGGGTTCGGGGAGGAAGAGTACTCGAATCTTTTGTAGCAATGCATTCTCTTTTTGAACAGTTGTAATTATTCAGAGACTTTCTTCTATCTTGTGAAAATCTGCTTCCCTGTAATATGTGATTATTGCTCCTTAATCTTCCCTCTGCAGGTATATAGGGTAAGTCTAAACCCATTTCTGCATGACTTCCCTTTAAATATTTGAGAGCAATTATGAAGACTGTCCTAGTGGCAGTTGTTTTTGTTTTGTTTTGTTTTAAAGATTTATTATTTATTTGAGAGAAAGAACATGGGCAGGAGGAGCAGAGGGGGAGAAAGAGAGAGAGAATCCCAAGCAAACTCTGTGCTGAGTGCAGAGCCCAGTGCAGGGCTTGATCTCATGCCTCTCACATCACAACCTGAGCTGAAACCAAGAGTCAGAGGCTTAACCAACTATGCCATCCAGGCGTCCCATGACCCTGTTTTTTGACTGAACTTGTTAATTTTTTGGCAGTCAGTCCATGCTTTGACAGAGCAGTGAAGTTTTAATGATTTCTGGTCTATCTATTCGATTATTTGTGGAACTGAAGTTGCTTTGATGTAAGCAGATAGGCTTCTTCAGGCTTCATTACTACTTTACAGCATGATACTGGTTGTCAGAGATGCAGTCCTTCCTCTCGTTCTAGTTTGCATCCTTTGTACCTGCCTATATATTCTCTGATACTACTTTGGAGTTTAGCAAAGGAAATTACAAGGAGCCAGTGGATCAGTACTAAGTTCCTGTCTTATTAGTGTTACATGTGCATAGCTTAAGCATCCTGCCTGAGCTCTGCTCCTAACTGGTCAGGTTCTTTGGCCTGGGTCCCTGACTCATGGTTGCCTAGATCTTGTGTAGCTCACTGGCATTTTATTCCCAGATCTGGCCTGAGTCGACTTTGGCCTGAGGAAATCATCCTAATTTCAACCTGTAGCTTCTGTTTTTTTTCTCCTAATATTCCTGAGTATTTTCAACCTTCCTTCCTGGAACTAGCTAACTTCTTTTCTTTTAAGTTTCTGTGACCAGAAGTGACTAGGAGTATGATAGGCTCTGCCATCTGGGCCTGGCAGTGGAATTGGCTACTTTTCTGATGGAGTAATTAGATTGGCAGTTATCAAGAAAGTTAGAAAGACTTTAGCATCTTTAGCCTCAGACCTCTGGCTTGTATGCTCAAGGTGTGGAAAACTCATGCCATTCTAGATCACTTGGGCCTTATGCATTCCCCTTCTTCACTGTTTTTCTGCCTGATTCTTTTTTCTTTATCCAAATTAGGTGGCCACCTCTTTCTCCTTTTTATTCCTCTGTACTGTCTTTGCAGATCAGTATTATAGAATCAGTAACTAGAACTGGAATTCTTGAGTTAAAGGACATGTGAATTTGTTTTTATAAATCTTATCCAAATTCCCCTCCACACTTAAAAATGTGTATGAATGTATCTTTTTCCATACCCTCACTACTAGTAGGTTTTATCAGATGTACTCATTTAAAAAAAATTTTTTGTCATCTATGGCTTAATTTGAATTTCTTTATACGATCTTTCTTACTCATGTAAGTAAATTTTTTTAAACAATTTTTAAAAATGTTTATTGGCCATTTGTATCCCTTTTGTGAACTACCTGGACTTTTTTTTTTAGAGCTCTCAAGGTAATTATATGCTTGAGAACCATGGTTTTATAAAATTTAACAGCTGATTAGATATGTGGAGAATGGACTGTGTTCAAGATCTAGCCCAGGTGATACCATTAACAAAGAATGTAGGAGCAGGAGCTCCATTTTATTAGGAAACTATAAATAGAATTCGGTTTTAATTCTTTAGCTTGAATTTTCATAACTCCAACTTTTTTTTTTTTCCTTTTTGCAGTTGAAATGGATGCAGTCAGAACTGAATGTTGAAGAAGTTGTAAATGACAGGAGCTGGAAGGTATAAAATAATGCTAGTTCATGGAGGAAACTATGAGGGAAACTGACCAGCAAAGGGAAACCAAGAAGGGGAATAAGGAATGCTTTGTGGCTCTTGAGAATAGATATCCTTCATTAGAAGCAACTGAAGGTTTTAACTCTGAGAAGGGGTGCAGTTGGCATTCAAGTGGAGCCATCTTATAAAAATAAACTTTATAGTCATATGGCAGATCGTATGACCTGTCATGGTAACAGAACTGGAGAAGAGGATTTGGAGAAGCTTAGCCAAGTCATAGATAGCATCCCAACCAGGGTGCCAAGGCCCCTAATATGAAGCCTCCCCTGATTTGAGCATTGGGAACTTCAGGGAAATGTCAGGGCTGGGAACTGATAAGAGACGAGCTATAAGACAAAAGGGCCAGAGTCTGTACAATTTCTGCATTTTTTCTTTTAATTGTGAGATAACACATACCAAAAAGTATATAACATGTAGAATTAAGGAATATTAATAAAATGAACATTCATGTATCTACCACCCAGTTTAAGAGATTGAATAATACCAGTACCCTAAAAGCTCCCTATGTAGATTTTTCTTTTATTTTTTAATGATAATTCACAGTGGCCAAAATACATTGTTTTTTGTGTTTCGTTTTGTTTTTTTAATCTTAAAAACAATTTGTTCCTTATGTCAATGAAGTATGAGGGTAAATTCTAAAAAAGAAATTCTTTTAGTTTTTTATAATTTTTTATTTGGACACTTAAAATTTAGGCATGATTAAAATTTTTTAAAAATATTAAATGCTATATGGTAAAAATTCTACCTCTCACTCCTCCCTTTTGGCCACTTCCTTTCTTTTCCCTCTGAAAGGATGGTATGTGTTTTTAGATATTTGCCTCTTTTCTAATTTTATGTATGTGTGTGTGTATACACACACACATTTTTCCCACTTGTGACAACTATGAGATTGTACTGTCCACAATTTTTGTTTCTTATGTATCTTGGAGGTCTTTACAAATCAGAACATACAGAGCTTCCTTACTCTTTTATGTCTACATTATATTCCATTGAATAGCTATACCGAAATTTTTATTTAATACAGTCCCATATTGACAGACATTGAATAATAGAATGTTCTTTTAAGATTTTTGGTATTTGTTTAGATTTTTAGGAAGCAAGGCAAATAGAACGGAACATTCTATAAATTTACACAATTTAGCAAAGATTGATCTCTCTTCAGGTGTACCTACTTTTTATAAAAAGAGTACAGTACTCATTTAGAAAATCACAACAGATATCCAAAGGGAAAAGCTTTATCTTAAACTATTTGAGATATTTTTGTCTAATTGTCCAAAGTATGCCCAGAATATGTAATCAAAATGTTTATTAGTTACTATTACTAAATAAGCTAGCTGGTGATGTTTTTTTCTTGAATAATATAAATTTTATTTAAAAATTAAAATTGTCTTATAAATGGATTTCAAAGCCTTCTATATTCTTTGTGCCTATGTTATTTTGAACTCCTGAGGAAAATTCTCTGTTCCCTAAATCTGTTGATCTGGAACAAAAATGGTTATTTCCTCCTGAACCATGCCAAATTTAATTCAGTTCTAGGCTTGATTTATACAAGATGTCTCAATGGCTTTTGTTTCTGTTTAAATATCTTAGGTGTTTAATGAACGCTGCCGAATTCACTTCAAGCCTCCAAAGAATGAGTAAAAAGATACTTTTTTTTAAAAAAAAAGGACCGACTGGGACATCTCATATGAGCTAAGCATGACAGACATCAACAAGGTGGGCTTCCTAGGATGATTTCTGAGCCAACAGTCCAAGACCTTTTGTTGATTTCAGCCCCACTTAGCCAAGACCTTAAGTACAAATAATTCTGATAATTATGGAGAAATCAACTGCTATTTTATACTGATTCTGTAAAAAAAAAAAAAAAAAAAAAAAAAAGTTTTGTAACTATTAAAATAATTTTCTGACTCAGTGTACATATTTATTTGATTGTTTTCCAAGTTGAGATAAGTTCTTATAAGAGAATTTGAATATAGTTTCAGTATCTGATCTGATTTTTATTATATCTTTTTGATTTTTACAAATTTGGCAAGAATGTGGACCGTTTTTGGTCATGATTGATTTTATCCTTTTATTTATCTTTGTGGCATTTATTGCTCTTAACAAGTAAGAGGGCAATATTATAAGCTGCATACTGTCCAAAGAAACTTTCTCTTGGTACCTTATCTTGTTTTCATATGCAAAAACTAATTTGGGGTGGAATTTCCATGGACAATGAAAGGAAAACAGTAAAATGAATTTGGGAAAGGCAGAGGAAGGCTTGCATACTAGTAGTATTCAAATGAGTCAGTAAAAAACCCCTATCATTGCAGAATTTGGTAATTGCAGAGAAAACACTTTCTAGTACAGAATGACCATATTAGTTTCTATTGCTGCTTGACATATTGCCACAGTTTAGCAGCTTAAAATCACACCTGTTTATTGTTTTACTGTTCTGTAGACCAGAAGTCCAAGACTAGGTTCTCTGCTTAGGGTCTCAGGCTGAAATCAAGTCAGCCAGACTGGCTCTTGTCTAGCACCTCTATAGAATTAGTGTGTTTCTTGGCTCATTCCATTTGTTGGCAGGATTCAGATCCTTTTGGTTGTAGGACTGATGTTCCCATTTCCTTTCTTGGTATCATAGGCCACTCTAAACTAGAAGCTACCCACACTTTTTGGCATATGGGCCCCTCCTTCTAGCTAGCAACAGCGTATTGAATTCTTCTCATTCTTGGAATCTGATTTCCTTTTCTGCCATAAACCAGACAAATACTGCTTTCAAAGGGTCTGTGTGATTAGTTTAAGCCTGCCATGACAGTCTTTTGTTTAACTCAAATGATTATAGCCTTAATTATATCTGCAAATCCCTTTTGCCAGGTAAGGTAACATCACAGATGTAATGTCTCATATTCACAGTCTAAGGGATTTGAGTGGGCCATCTTAGAGAGCCATATTAGGATTCTGCCTACCATTGAGGATTTAAACAACCCACCTGGTTCTGGCACAGTTAGATTGACCAACTGGGTCATAGGTAGGCCTATGTGTTCGGTATGTAGACCCTTATCAGGTTATGCATTTAGAAGTGAGCAGTAAAAGTATAAAATACCATTCTTTCAACAGATCTTTTGAGCACTTACTGTGGGTCAGATGCTAAGTTATTGGGGATATTGATAAAACCTACTTTTGTGGAAATTATAATCTAATCTTAAAAAGGAAAAATTTCTTTAGGCCAGCAGTAAAAAAGGTTTTCTATAGGGCTTAAAGCGAGTGGTGCCTGACAGAAAGTTGTTTTATTTATTTTTCTTTCATGTGTCTTTTCAATTGAAAGTACTCAATAAAAAAATAAGACTCAATGCATAAAGATTTTCCTGATGCTTAGGAGGGAATTGAGAATTCTTTGAAAGGATTCATAACAGCTTTTCCAGAATTTCAGGTCTGCTAAAATAATATCTAATCCAATTATGTTGGTTAGGATGTCTGAATCATCCCAATGTAACATGAAAAATGTGCAATCAATAGCAATCAGTGACTTTTAGTATAATGAATATTAATATGTTTAGTTTGTGATGAATGGCATTTAAAGCCTCAAATATGAAGAAAAAGGGATGGCATAATGTTCTTGAAAGTTAATTTGCCTCCTGAAACCATATCTTGCATATTCTTGCTGCCTCAATAATTGTTGATTTTGTTGGCTTGAAAGATAGGTAGGCTTCAGTCAGGGAGAGAGGGAGAAGAAGCAGAATGCAAAAGTTCAAAGGTAAGTTTGGCTTTTCCTTGGCAGGACAGAAGATAGCCAAAGAAGAAACACCAATCTTTAATGAGTACTTGAGTGTCTCATGTATTCTAGGCACTATTAGCCAATACTAATACATCACTGAACAAAAGCAGATAAAAAGTCCCTGCTCTTAAAGAACTTCTATGTAGTAAAGAGAAACACAATAGTAAAGTAAATTATGTAGTATGCTAAAAGATGATAAAGCTATATGCCAAAAAGGGAATCTGGAATGAGGAGTGGAAAGTGAGTGGCAAATGACTGATTTCAGCTGGTTAAGAGAACATGATAATGCCCTTGTCTTTGAAAAGCCAGTTTAAATATATACCAAATAAGTGCAGTAATAAAAGCAAGTTTTCTATTAATTCATTCTCTGTGTGTGTCTTTTAAAGTAATCTCTATACCCAACATGGGCTCAAACTTAAAACCCCAAGATTGAGAGCCATACTGCTCTATCAACTGAGCTAACCAGGCCCTCCAGTCATTCCCTTCCTCCAGTTGTCCTTCAAAGATAACCAGTCTAGGAAATGGCGTGGTAATGTACCCAGTGTGACTGCAGTAGTCCTTGCTTCTGTGCCATGCTACCTATTTAAGACCATCCAGGGATAACTTGTAAACTGGGAGATTAGTCCAACATGTAGTCTCACTGCAAATCAAAAAAAAAAAAAAATGAATATTCTGCCCAAAGTTATGTAAGCTAATCAAAGGTTAGAGATTACTTCGTTGCTCATGATTTCTGTGTGTACTTAACCTGATAGTTAAGCCTTGATTGTCCCTAAACAAAAAACAAAACAAAAAAAAACCACGTACATAGTTGAGCATGTACATTGTAGAATATAGCCAAAAAGTGATCACTCCTGATAGGGGGCAATGTTTTTAGGAGAAGCCTAATTTACCCCACAGCATTATTTTGGGGAGGAAACAAAATGTTAGTAAGGTTTAAGCAAAGATAGCTCCCAGCTTCTGAATGCAGTGGCCTGCTGAGGGTAATCCCTATAAAAGGGAAGAAGACTTAAGTTAGGTGAATTTGTGGATCTCTTGATGCATGAAGAAAGGACAGCAAATCCACTGAACTATAGTTGCAGTTGATGGAGTGGGTTTTCCACTCTAATTTTATTTTATTTTATTATTTTTTTTCTAATTTTAAAAATGTAGACAAAATTTGACTCCTGCTCTGCTTAAAATTCCTCAGTGGCTTCTGAAGGATAAGTACCAGGTTCTTAAAACTTTTTGAAATCCTTTGTGCTCTGGCTCCTGCTTACCTCCAACCTCACTCTCTGCAATGTACTCTATTCCCCACTAGTAGGAAACCATTCAGGTTTCCAGAAAAGGCCCAGTGTTACCTCTGAACTTCAGTACATGTACTCTTCCCTGGCCAACTCCTACCCTTGCTTCATGTCTCAGCTATCGTTTCCTTTAGCGAGCTTTTCCTGACTTCTCAAATACAAATTAGATGTCCTTATGTGTCCTCATGATAAACACCTCTCATGATCTTTATCATCCTGTTCAATTGGTGGTTTACGTCTAACCCACTAGGTTTTGAGGGCTGGCACTGTGGAGTCCTCAGTGCTTACAATAGTTAAGCCTGAGATACTGCTAGTTTTCTACCCCATATCTGTTTTCCTCTTCCTGAACAATAGAATCCTGATTTTGTCTACAGTAGCATTGTGCCCAGCTTCCCTTGCAGCCCCAGATAACAGTGAGGTAGTTTTTGACAGTGAGATATAAACAGGAGACTTGGTGCATTTTGGGGAAACTTTCCTGATACGGGTATTGTCCTTCTTTCTCCCTGGAGTGTGGTTAGGATTGCTAGAACAAGGGTGAGAACTATTTGCTCACATGGTGGTGAACACGAAGATAAAAGCCACATGTTGATGGCTGAACAGAAAGGAGACTGGATCCTTGATGGCATTGTGATTTGCCATACCAGCCCTGGGCTGTGTCCCCAAAGTTGTTATTAAGTGAGGGCAGGGATTTTTAATTTAAGCATTCAAGGATGTAATAGGAGTGGTTCATTTATTTGGGTAAACCTCTATGTTTAGGATTCTGTTACATGGAGCTAAATGCAGCCCATAAGTGGTATGTTCAATGAACGAACAGTATACTAATAGCTCATTTGTTCATTGCTTACTACAAATTAGTTACCATTCTAAGTATTTTACATGATTGCTATATTGGGGAGATGAAGTTTGGGAGATTCTAATAGGCAAACGCTAGGAAAGACTAGGCCCTAAACCAGGTCAGAAGTGTATGAAAGAATCCGGGGGGAACTCATCCTTTTTCTCTAAAAGGAATGACTTGGCATTAAGAGCTAGTTAAAAAAAAAAAAAAAAAAAAAAAAAAGAGCTAGTTCAATCAGTTCAATACTTGGCTCCTAGGGACTTGGTTCAGATCTCATTCCAATATTGCAACAAACAGGGTCCTGGGATTGAGCCCCACTACAAGCTCCCTGCTTAGTGGGGGAGTCTGCTTGTCCCTTTCCTCTGCCTGCCCCCACTCCTGCTCTTTTACTATCTCTCAAATACAATCATTTAAAAAAATATATTGCGGGGATCCCTGGGTGGCGCAGCGGTTTGGCGCCTGCCTTTGGCCCAGGGTGCGATCCTGGAGACCCGGGATCGAATCCCACATCGGGCTCCCGGTGCATGGAGCCTGCTTCTCCCTCTGCCTGTATCTCTGCCTCTCTCTCTCTCTGTGTGTGACTATCATAAATAAATAAAAATTTAAATATATATATATATATATATTGCAATAAATACAGAGGATTTTTTTTTGTGTTTTTTTTTTCTCAGTTGTTAAACCTGCATTAAATCCTCCTCCCCCCGCCCCCATCAACCTTGCCCCACTTCTCTAAGGACATAATATTCCTGTCTATCCGTCCAACCATCCACTCACCCATCCATCCATCCATCCCTCCATCCATATGTTCGTCATGTGGATCAGATATCAGCCACACCACAGCCCTTCCTAGGGAAGACTCTGGGCCAGAGCTCCTACTGAAAGAGCACCCCTTAGTAGCCCATATTACACTATGCTGGTTCAACCAGGGCTGGGCAACTGACCAGGAACTGCTAGATGTTGGTCCGTGTTTTAGGACATGTCCTGGGCCAAGAAGATGATCTAG